TTAATTTCTCCTTTATTTTTACTCTTAAACATTCTATCTTTCTAACTTCTATATATTTTATATTCTAACTATTCTCCACTATACTTTCACTGCTATCGATTTCACCAAAACTTTCTGCTCTTCATAATAATCTTATTATTTTTAATCTTAGTAAAAATTTTTCTTTTTGATCATGCAAAAAACTCAAAACATGACCTTCAGAACTTTGTTCTAATTCTTGCTCATGTATATGATTACCAATTTTATCTAATCTCTTTTTTACACTATCCTTTTCTCTTTGTAAACTACATTATTCTCTATTAGTTATTTTAAAAATACAATTTTATTATAAACTAACATTTATTAATCTAAATACATACCTTTCTACTCTCGTAAATCCAATTTCATAAATCACATATGGATAAAGCTCTTTGGATCTTTCAACTGAAATCTTGCTTGTACCTTCTGCAACTTTATTCTGAGACAAAAGAACTTTCTCCTCTTGTGTTAACTCTACAACTTCATCTTCAAGTGAACTTTTTATTTTCTTTGGTAGTAAACTTCACTTAAAGCTCCTCTTCAAATAGCTACAAAAATAACTTCATTTGCTTATTTTGTTAAACTTCAACAAAACTTTCTACAAACTTTAAACCTAAAACCAATATATATTGTACAACTCAAAATTCTTCGATAAATCAACACAAAGCTAAATTAGGTAACTAATCAACAAATCTCATCTCTCTTAAACTGTACAAAAATGATCTTTATAACTTTGTTGTTATAGTACAGTGGTTATGGCGTACAACACTGCAGGGTTGTGTGTTCGATTACCACCGGTAGCATGCTAGGCCTGGTGCACCAAGGAAGCATTACTGACTACAACTGAATATTCAACTTTTACTTAATAACATTATTTACTTTTATCTTTCTTTTTAACTTTATTACAATTAACTTTCATAATTTCAACTTACATATTCAAAATCTCTTTTAAAAATACTATACTTATTTATATTACAAAAAATCTACATCTTATGTATCTTATAGAACCCTCTATGAAACTTTATACTTATTCAGAACTTATCTAGATTTGTATAAAGTTTTCAAATCTAGATAAGTCTTGGCTACTCTAGTAGGTTTAGATCGCAGATAATTAGTTTGAGCTTTAGTTTAAGCTTTTAGTCTGAGCTTTTATTCTTGCACATAATTTATATTTATTTGTTAATATACAAATTAAGTTTTTATATAGCTAATTAATATGTAATTACTTATATAAATTAATTAATAAAGATATAAGCAAGGCCTCACCTTAATACCAAAAAAAAAAAAAACTTAGTATAATGGTCTAGTTGTCACTCTCTCCAAGTAGCAGGTCTAGAGTTCAAATCCTACTGGCAATAATATTTGAAAAATATATTTGCTTAAGGTTGATGGCTATGCTTATCAGTTAGATCTTAGAATTAAATCTGTAACCTCAATTACATCATCTAGTAATGAATACAATAGTGCAATAAATTTGAGGAACTGGCATAACTGAAAACCTATTTGGGAAGTCCTGAGTTAGGAGGTAGCATAGTCTTTGATGGTACTACAGGAGGGCTGAATTTAAACTGAGACCTGAGATTGGAAAACCAAATGACTAAGTTCTAATAGCAGAGAACACACTAGCTAAACCACTGAGTTTTGTCACACTAGAGAAAAAAAACATATGCTTTGAAAGTATATACCAAGGGGAGGGCATCCTTCAGATACCAAAGCCTGAGTAAACTGACCTTTTCAGGTTGATGGCTGGAAGTAAGGAAGAGACTGATAAAGAATCTGGGTAAGAAAACGGTCTGAATGTGGGTATTGGAGTTGTGTGAACCAAACAAAGGCAGGTAACTGTAGGGGTTTAATGGTTAGCCCTGACCCCAAGTATATAAATGAAACTGTAATGTAATTACTAGTAAGTCTAAATAGTTAAATATGTGTGAGACATGTACAAGCTTAGCCGGATATTACCTCAGAAGTAAAGTAGCCCTTGACACCTAATCACAGTTTGGTTTATCAGAGGTTTCACATATGGAAGTAAGTTACAGTCAGAAGGTTTAAATAGGTAGCCCCATAGTTTAAGTTGCTAGTATGGCAGATAGTATAGAACTCTAAGTAAAATGGCTTAGATGCAGACTACTTAAATTAGGTACCAAAAGCAGTATTGTATATGGGACAATTTTGGACATTTTTTCAAATTGAAATTACTCAAAATTTTATTAAGATAATCTATTTTAATTTTTTCACCAATGAGTCCAGCACCTAAAAAAATATATAATTATATATATTTTTTAATTACTTTATTGATTAGTTAAACATGGGACATAGACTTAGACGATTTTGGACAATCTTACATTTTATATAGTGTGAACACGTCCCATATACAACACTGCCAAAAGTGCACATGTGGCTTGATATACTCTCATTGTAACAGAAACAATAATCTTTAATAAATACAAACACAAACATGTCAATGAGATTACTGTTTAAAATAAAAAAAAAATGAAAATATTATGGTTTAAAGATTTATATAGCTATATTAAGGCCAAGATGCACTATATACTGTAATATGCAAAAGGAATTAAAAAGATAAACATAAAGTATTTGAATATTTTTGAAGTTGCTAATTTAAATTTTTGACATGTTAAATAGCATAATTCAATACCACTCAGCCTTTATTCAACATATTGAATATTTCAATTGTTTGATTCAATTTGTTTAACCTGGTTGATATTTTTTAGACTCAGTTGATACGGCTAAGCCAGATATAGAGATTAGAATCAGTTTATGTTTAGTTGGCTAAACATAGTAGCATAATATAAAAATTTTTAGTCAACTAACCCAATCTAATTAGAATCTGTTGATTAACCAATTAATTAATAGATACTAGGTTCAAATCACTAGATGAATTTAGAGGGCATATATCTTCCTTTAACTGTTGCTTATATACTTTTAGTCTATTTTAGATATGATATTTTGAAAGTTTATGCAATTTTTTATTTTTATTTTTTTTTTTTTGAGTGTCAACGCGTATGTGCGAAATTTTGAGCATTATATATATTATTAGGGTGTGAATTTTTTTATAGATCATCAACAGCGTATATAGTAAAAACATAAAATTCAAACTGCAATAACTCTTGTATCAACAAGTTCATACAAATAAAATTACACTTGTTGGATTTATTTTAGTATGCTCTTTGAAGTAACAATGTCTTTTTATTATTTATTTTTATTGTTTAGACATAGCGGTGCCTCAATCTTGATGTTTTTTAATAAAAATATCAAAAAAAACGTAGCTTTGAATTTTGTGTTGATCATCATTGCATTATACAATACAATACAATAGAAGTAACATTTATGATGTTTTGTTAAAAAAGCATCAAAGACGACACTAATGCATGAAGATTGAGATACCTGCTATGCTCTAAACAATAAAAATATATAAAAAAGGACGTTGTTATTTCAAAGAGTATGCTAAAATAAATCAACAAGTGTAATTTTATTTGTGTGAACTTGTTGGTACAAGAGTTATTGCAGTTTGAATTTTATGTTTTTACTATCACTGATTTATAAAAAATTTAATGATTTTCACTATATAACCTGCACTATGTTTGTAAATAAGCACCCCAATGCATTATGTCACCAAGAATAAATAATACATAATGCTTAATACATACTACTAAAGGTAAGATTAATATATATGACTGTATAAATATGGAAGGTAATTAACAACTGTAAGATTTAGACATATGAAAAGGTAATCATCAAAAAAACATGGATGTGCGATAATTGAAAAATGCTTAATCAAAACTTTTTGTTAGCTCTTGGCGATTACCATATTCTGCTGTGAATAAGCACCCACCTTTTGCAATTTTTATATCCAAGTTTCTCATGATCTAGTGATCGATCTATATAATTTTAGTACTATTCGAATCAGCTTATCAAAACGATTCAAATGATACTGAAATTATACAGATTCGATTATTAGATTATGAGAAACTTGGATATGAAAATTGCAAAAGATGGGTGCTTATTCATAGCAGAATACAGTATACAAATTTTGAAAAATAGGCAATGTTTCTTAATAGAAACACTGAAATTTTCGAATAACTTTTAGCTATCGAAATTTTTTGAAATTTTAGTCAAATTTGATTGAATTTTTTGAAATTTTTGCCAAAATTGACTGAATTTTTCGAAATTAAAGCTGTTCAAAGTTGAATAGTTGTTTAACGTTATTCTCCTCTCGGTTAGCTATCCCCTAAAAATTAAATAAGCCAATCACAACACAGGATAATCTCTAATAATCATGTAATTAAAGTTGGCCAATGATATCTTGTCGAATAATCTGTGCCATATATATGTTTGTTTAAATCCCCCCTCATGCTTGAGCTCAAATATTGATATTAAACAACTAATTTTGAATGGCCTAATATGCAAATGATTGATTAGATATTTTACTAAGTATTTGAAATCGTTAAAAAAACAATTAGAAATCGACTTTAAATTAGAGATGTTAAAAGTCTAGTTTGGTCCTGTTTCATAAAAGTTCAAGTTCAGAAACAGTTCGAAAATGGGTTCAAAAAATATCATGTGAAAGTCACACTCAAGTTTCAAAAATATCATGTGAAGGCCACATGTGAGTTTCTAAACTCAGTTTCGAACTTCTTATTTAAGTAAGAAATTTAATAGATCTTTATGATCTTTACAATTTAGAAAAATACAATAAGACAGTCGAATATTCTAACCTTTAAAAAAATACTACCACTAAACTAATACTAACGCTAAACTAATTTTATTAAACTTTATACTTCAAGTTTTTTAATTACACTGGATTCATACCAACTTTTAAGGCAGAGAGTTGCCTGTGCTTTTTCTGGATCTAAATGATTATGTAAGGAGTTTATAGTATGTTTGACGACTGAGAATATCTGCTCACTTGGTATGCTAGTAGCCTGTATATACAGGTAGTTTTGAGCTATTTTTGCAATATTTTTTTAATTTTGATTATTTGCATGAGCTCTCCACCATGATAATACTTCACAATCAACTTCTGCTAACATAAGATAATTTCGTAATTCACTTGCTACATCAGGAGAATCAAGTGAACGCTTAAGGGCCTTCTTGAAATAATCGCGAGAAGTTAATTGTAAAGTATCTGTTTGGGATGATGAACTGGCATTAGAGGTAATATATTTTGAATAGAGATTTTCTATATGTTGTTAAGCTTTTTGTTGTTTTTCTGCATTATATAATGAAAGCTTAATGTTTGGATTGAGAGAAGCAATCATAAAGGATGATTGATCCAATTTTTGCCAATACTCGTCAAGTTTAATTACTATGGCTATTGCAACAAGTTTTGGTGTAGTTTCTTTGACGGTATTATTGATAATTTTTTCAAGAGATCTTTTAATCGTGGTGAATATTAAATGAAGATCTTCTAAGGTTGGATGACTTGATGATGAGAGCATTAAGGTTGCTTGGTAAACAGGATTAAGGAGATTATAGATTTCTTATATAATCGTATTTAAAAAAAATTAAAAAAAAAAAAAATAATAATAAAAAAAAGAAAAAAAAAGTATCTTGATTTCTAACTATTCTAATTCAGTTGGATAATTTGACTTTAATGAATTATTTGATGCAACAAGAATATCAATCATATCTCTGATTTTTTTTAATTTTTCAATCATTAGAAACGTACTATTATAACGGGTTGAAACATCTAGATCAGGTACAAGAAACTTTTTGTTTTTTATTTTAAATATTTCTTTTAATTCTCTAAAAATTGGTTGAGAATTATGTATAGTAGATGCAAAGGTTCTTGCTTTTTTAATAGAAGTATCAACAAGTTTTAATCCTTCTGTGATGATTAAGTTTAAACTATAGGCAGTACAACAAAAATGCTGGAAATCATAATTATTAAATTCTTCTTTAAGGCTTTGTTGTAAGTGATAAGAAAGGTAATCATATTGGCTGCATTATTAGTTGTTGCAGCAATTATTTTTTCTCCAATTTTATAAAAACTAATAATTTCTAATACAGCATTTGAAATATTTAATCCCATATGATCATCTTTAACAAATACAAGATCGAGAAGCAATTTTTGTTTACTCCAATTATCATTAATCCAATGAAGCATTATGGATAAATAATCACTGTTATTGCAAGCAGTCCATAAATCAGTTGTAATAGCAAATTTTCTTGTTGTTTTTAAAAACTCTTTTAATAATAATTGTTGTTTTTTATAAATTGCTTTGATTTGATTCGATATAGTTTGCCGAGATGGTAATCGATACCATTCATCAAGTTCTTCAATTAATTCAATGAAACTAGAATCTTTGATGACTATGAAAGATTGTTGATTACAAATAATCCACTTTATAAGCAGATAAGTGATACGTTTAACTTTTGATTCATTATCTATTCTATAAGGTTGAATCGGTTTGGTTTTTTTAATTTCCAACTCTACTTTATTATAAATATTAGTGTGATATTTTTTGAAATAAGATTTAATTGTGCTAATTCCTGTTGATTTTTGCCATTGTAATGGAGGATGTTGTTCTTTATATGGTATATAGCAAATGTAAAAACCGGATTCACTTGGTTCAAGATATTCATGTAAAGGATGAGATTTTTTGCATTTTTTATTTGATAAATTATCAAATAATGATTCTACAGTTAAAGGGTCTACTTTTAATTCTTTTTGCAAAGAATTGCGTATTTTATTATATAAAGGGTCTTCTTGTTCTTCAATAATATTAGTATCATTGTTAATATTGTCTATTATGCAAAAATTTAACATTCAAAAGTAAAAAATTTCTCTTTAAATAAAAAAATCAAGAAGTTTAATATGCTTCGCACCCATGCGGTAAGGTTATATATCACACCTTAATATGATTGGCTAATTTTGCAGATCATTATTTATAAAAAAATAAACAAATTTTGATTAATTTTCTTTAGA